CTCCTCAAGGCTGGGGTTATAAATCTGTCGGCAAATCCGACTAATGCTATTTTACTTGTTATCCATTCTCTTTCTGTACAGTAAATTATTTTTCTTTGAAAATGTTGACATTTTGTGGAGTAGTTACCAGAAGAAGTGGACCGATATTGCCCATCTCCGAACTCATTTTAAGTTTGACAATAATATTACGATGTACCAAGTTTGGATTAAATCGGATACTCCCTTCGAGAGTTATAGTGCGCACCAGCCAGTCAGCCGAACGGACGGATATCGCTAAATCAACTCCAATTGTCTTGAAATGTATTTGGTCCAAAGAGAGCTAGGGTCTAAAACCATTATTTCGATGAGTCACGTTTTGGCCGTATCAAATGATATTGGAATTGTCTGGAATCTACTGTAATATGTGAACTCTTGAGCAATTATAATTCAATTGTAATTTTCAAAGTTAACTTCCTAGTACAACAAATTGTGTGTCTGTTACAGCAACAAAGACATGACTACAAATCTTGCTTGAGGCTAGGAACATGTTCCTTTATATCTCTTTTGTAATATAATGAAGAGAATGGCGCAAAGTAATGTGATACCTGAAATTAAACACGTTTTTAATTATTGAGCTTCGTGTTGTTATGTTTTGAATCAAAGGATAAGTTCATTGAACATTCAAAATCGTCTAAAATTGCACGTAAGGTAGAATAATGATAGCTAAATGAGATACATGTATATTTATATGTTAAATGTTTAGCTTCTACAATATACATATATCATAAAATATGTATAAATATTCCGTAAGATATAAATATGTACATATACAAATACATAATTTTCGAGGTGCATCTCCCAATAATAATTTGGGCCCAATCAAACTGGTATATTTTGGCTTTGCTCTGCGTCTCTTAACATGTTTTGTAACCAAAATACTGACATTAAAAAATCCAATTCCACGAATTTCTCAATGGTTCCCCCAAGTAAGTGTAAAATCAAGAGACTCCCCTATGGTTGGCATGTTGATTGGTGGACGTTTTTGACCTGCCCCCCCCCCCCCCCCTTTTCTCAAATTCGTATATACGTCGAAGAGTAAGGAAAAAAGGTGTAACTCCTTTTTTTAATTACATAAAATATTTTCCACACTTCTCCAAAATTAATCTCCACCAATAGTTTCTTAGCACATTTGTTTTTAATTGTTTTTCTTTCCCCTCCTGTTTTTCTTAGTTCAGTTTTGCTAAACTTTTTTTGGCAATGACTTTTGCAGTCACACTTATATTCTGCAGCGAACCACCATGAATATAACTGCCAACTCCAAACATTTTCACATAATAAATTTATTAATCAGTTATGGGAATCTTTGCCAGATAGAACTTTGGAAAACTGAACTTAATTAAAATGTCATAATTTGCTGTCAGAAATTTGTGGAAGTTTAAATAAACGACGGGTTTAAATGCAGCTGAAAGAGTAAAAGAAGTAAAACAATAAAAATCAACAACAACAGAAAAAAATAAAAAAAAAACACTAAGTTCGGTCGTGCCGAACTTTTAATATTACTCCACCTTTGGGTGAAGAAAATATTTTTATAAAATGTATCTGAATTCAAACGTGATCCACTTTAAACCATGGTACAATAAAAAGGTAAGGTAGAGCTACCAGCTGATTACAATTTTTTTTTCTAAGTGTGCTCGACTTCTGCCAATTTTGTGTATGTATTTATTGTTTTGAAATATTAAAAAAAAATGAAGAAACGTACATTACCGCTTGCGCATTAAAGCTTTTAACCAATTTAGCCATGAAATTGAAAGATTTAACAGTTTGGATCATATTTTTGAGAGAAAATTTAGGCCTTTCATTCATTTTTCGCGCTATTTGAATCATTTGAAAAATGAACAAAAAATATCAAATAAATGAAAACAACTTTTTGGATACAATTTGAGTAAGTCTGACAGGAAGCGGGCATAGCCTCAGGGCTGTATTTTTTAAGTTTTACGAAGCTGTTCTACCTCCCTATTGTACCATGCTTTAAACTACAAATATCATTAAGACCGTTTGGATAATGCTGTTAAAATTTTCAAAAAACCATAATGTGGATGAACCCGTTGTTTGGGGGTCATACCAAAATGGGAACCTCTATAAACAATACTTCAAGGATTGTCATCTACCAAATCTCTTAAATACCAAATTTGAAACAATTTCGTGTGTAAATGTGACTAGGATTATAAAAATACCGAATATCGGTGGGTATCGTTATATGTCCGCTATAGGAAAACGTTGACCTAAATATTCAATGTTCTGCCGCCGGGGCTAGAACCCATTATGAACTACAAATACCATTTTTAGACAAATCATAAAATGTGGCAAAAATTATCAAAATACTGAATATTCGGAGGTACCATTTTGTGGGGGCTATACAAAAACGTGGAGCTATATATATTCTATATATGTTCCGCCACCGGAGCTAGAACCCATTATGAACTACAAATACCAATTTTTAGACAAATCAGTGGAAAAATGTCGCAAAAATCATCAAAATACGGAATATTGGGAGGTACCGTTATATGGGGGCGTGGTCCAATACATCTCATTTTCAATACCAAACATCCTTCTTTTTATACTCTCAGTCATATGGCTAAAGAGGGTATATATCATTTGATACGGCTAAAACGTGCCTCATCGAAATAACGGTTTTAGACCCTAGGTCTCTTTGGGCCAAATCCTTTTCAGGCCATTTGGAGTCGATTTAGCGATGTCCGTCTGTCTTTCTGGCTGGTGCGCATGATAATTTTCGAAGGGAGTAACCGATTTTATCCCACGATTGGTACATCGTAAGTTAGATAGAGTTCGGATATGAGCAATATCGGTCCACTCCTTCTAGTACCTTCACCACAAAATGCTAACAATTTCAAAGAACATAATTTACTGCACGGAAAGAGAAAGGATAATCCAATTCTGCTAGACCTTAGCAACTCCTAATATTTGCATCAGTGCTAGGTCAGGTGCGTAACCCCCACAAAGGGTTACAATTATGAATATTAAAGAAGGTCATAAATTAACATTCTATTCTATACAGATTATTCTATCTATGAACACAATATCTGTTATAAATATCATTCCATCTGGTACTACCTCCACCACAAAGGGTCAAAATTTTAAATAACCAAAATGATCATAAAATCCGAACTAGGCATCCGGCTCTATTCACGATATTTTTATTAATCCAAGGTCTGCTGTGAAGATGAGGTATATCGGTCTACTCCTTCTGATACCTCCCCCCACAAAGAATCAAAATTTTGAATATCCCTGAAGCTCATAAAACGCGAAATTAACATCCGATTCCATTCAGACCTGGTATATCTCAATAATTCCATCAACATAATCGGATCATTTCTTCTGGTACGTCCCCCACATAGGGTTCAAGATTTTGATAAACAAAACGCTCAAAGAAATCGAAAAAGGCATCCAACTATTTTTGCTAACGCAAGATCTGTTGTGAATATGATATATGGTACCCTAATGGTACCTCACCCACAAAGGATCACCATTTTCAATGCTTATATCTGTCGTAACTTGCGAAACAAGTTGGCGATTCTTTACAATTTGCTATATCTAAATATTTCTCGTAGCCAGAAATCTGGTATGAATATGTAATTTATCGGAATTTATGATTTCGCGTAAAAGTGCATATAAATGTTCGATTTCCTTCAAATTTTGCACATACCAATATTTTTATCTGTATTAGATGAAGTATGAAACTGGATTACTTCGGTCGACTATATTTGGTACTTTACGCATATTTCCACATTTTCCAAAAATTTGTACAAATCTCATATAAAGTATAATAAGTAGTCGATGTAGTCCAAATCTGGCACGTTGTAATATTTATATCATATTTATTTAGGTCCGATACGAATTGGTCAATATAGTGGTCTGTTCCAGAAACTGCAAGAATCTACTAGTTTTGCAATTTTTTTTTCGATATCGTAAAGGGAAAATCAGTTATCTTAGAAAAAACTATTAAATTCTTGCCAGAATGGTCAACTGATATTTTTACTACGATAACCGATGGTTGTTCCATCAAATCGAATACAAAATCTCAAAAATATAATTCTTTTGCTCTGTTCCAGTACCTGCAAGAATCTACTAGTTTTGCAATTTTCTTCGATATCATTTTTGCAGTTTTGGAACAGACCATTTGTCTCAACTGTGTATATGTTTGTCTGCATAGAATAAAAGAAAAAAATGTTTTAGAAAGTTGCTTTATTCCTATATGGAATAGAATACTTTATTCGTAGAATAATTACTAATTTTACTTTTCTTATGGCATATAAGATTTTCAGGGAAATTTAAATTTTTATATATTCATATTAGGGTCTAAACGATGACGTAAACCTGCATAGGCAACTTTTGTCATAATCCATTACAATATTCAAATGCGAAACTTGAAAAAATCGTTAATTAATATAGCTAAAATCATCAATATAGGGAGGTACTATTATATGGGGGCTATACCATAATGTGGACCTGCACAGACACTTTTCTGGCATAGGCTGTAGTATCCATCACGAACTTCAAATACGAAATTTGAAACAATTCCGGTGAATAATGTCGCTAAAATCATGAAAATACCCAATATCGGAAGGTACCATTATATGGGGGCTATACGAAAACGTAGATCAACATAGCCCATTTACGAACTATGCATGCAAACTTTTAGCGTTCTATCTCAATTCGTTCGAAAGGTAGCGTGATTACAACAGACAGACGGACATCGCTAGATCGTCTTAGAATTTTATGCTGATCCAGAATATATGTACTTTGTAGGATCTATTAATAATTTTTGAGGAGTTACAAACGGAATGACCAAGTTAATATACCCTCCATAGAATGATGGAGGGTATAATAAAACCATATGGTATCATAGCCCTACCTTGATTTTATTGTACCATGAAAGGACCGACGTCCACCATTGCCATTACTGAATAATCAAAGAAAAAACCTTAATATTTTTATATTTAATTGTATTTATTTAAATCTGATTTAAAAGTTATTGTGAATAGTATTAATAATAGTAATAATAATAAATATTATATTATCGTAAGCTTATAAAACTATTGTATTTTTATGTGTGTGTGAACGTATATTTTGTGTGTCTAATTATGTATGTATGTACGTTTTGTTACTTTCGAAATATGACAATTCTCCCTGCGAAGGGCAAGTCAAAATGGGGGTTTAGACAAAAGTTAACCACAAAACACATAATTGTATAAAATTTAACTTAAAAAATATATATCTATTTGTAATAATAAATACTAATAATAATGATCAACTTAACAAAAACTAACGACAATTTTCAGATGCAATTTAAATAGTTGGAAATAAATAAAGATGGCAATCAAAATAAAAGTTATTAAAGAAAAATCTAAACTGCATAATTTTATTTTGTTCTATGCATTTCAGATGTTCAAGTTCTAATTCAATAAAACATTTAACAACTATTGACATCAATTTTTGCACTTCCACTTTTAAATTTCAACTGAAAATAGTTTTCGATTTTTTGACTAGGAATTTATATATTGACCAACCAAAAACATTCACATTACAATACAATCGTAGACTAACTGCTATGCGCTTCTCCACTGCTCCATCGACGTTCGTATTCGTTTCGTAAACTAGATTGTTTTAAGATGCAATGATGGTAGTGTATCGTAAATTATGATATCGTCGTATCTCGTATTATGTCGTATTTGAACTTAATGCTTTTGCTTCTGGCAAGTATGTATGTCTGTATGTATGTACGTTTATTTGGTTTTGTTCAATTGTTTCTTTTTGGTTTTGTTTTATAATTAATTAGTAATTTTTCTATTTGGTAAATTAGCTATTTGAAAAATACGCAATAATGAGTATTCCTTTTTGCTCCAACCAACACCATGCGCCTTGATTGGATGGTATTGAATCTGATTTGATTTTGGCAGGCTATGTGGCTGTTGAATGTTGTCCACTCGACCACTTTAAAGCTTTTTATTTTGTGGGAAATTCCGGCCAATAGTTAATATAATATCGATGAGTACTACCCTCGAAAAGGCGATCCAACCAATTGCTAAGGCCATCCAAGAGATTACCCTCTAACAGCACTCTGGGCTCATTATCTTCTGATTCATCAGAATTTGCATCGTTAAAGAATGCTCCCACCTCAGGATCGTCGGGTCGTCGTACCAACTGTCGCGTAATCTTTTCCATTCTCTTAACACCGCGTGAAGTCTCCGGATGTTTGGCATGATACATGCAGAAATATTTACGATGGCCGTTCAATGCCAGAACGGTACCAACACAATTTCTTGGGTTGATATTTAATGTTTTTGTATCGCCCAAGCCTTGGCGTAACAGTTCCGAATACCACGAGAGACCTTTGTCGATCAGCATATGACCAAACATTAGTGTTTTGTTTTTGCGATAAGGCCACACGGCCTTGTGGAAGGGAGGAATTAATTTGGGTCGCGATTGCAAATCTGTAATTAAAATTATGGTCCGACAACCAGGCTTAAGGAGTCGTATTAGACCATTGTACTTCTCTGCCCTTAACTCATGCAGTCTTAATTCAGGTTGTTGACGATTTGTCTTGGCACCGCCATTCGGAGAAAGTTCTCCTTTGGCCTTGAGATTTTCTTCTTCGGCTCGCACAAAGTAGACCATGACATAGCCTACGGCAAACATAAATGCAATGGTTCCCAGCAGCGAGAGTGCAGCCAAGACATGTTGCTCTTCTATGGTGTCTACCAAATAATCGTACATGCCAAATACTTTGTTAATGCAGTTGTGTATAAAACCCTGGGCGTGCTCATCCAACAGATTCTTAACAAAAGCTTCATAGCTTAAGGCCTCCGATGTTTTCAGCAGTTTCTGTATGGTATGGTCTATTTGCTGCTTGGTGTGATTGATCAAATGATCAGAGGATGGATGATCCTTGAGATCCAAGCTGGCATCATGGACCCATTCGTATTTGATGTGCGAGGTGTCACGACGCCACAGAACAACAATGCGTAAAAGTTTCTCATTCTCAGAGCCTTGTGAAATGGCATTGATAAAGTCCAGCTGTTTTTCTTTGTAGATATAGGCAAAACGTACCTTCTCCATGCTAAAGGCGCTTTGTAGGGCAATGTTGCGCAAAGCACCACGGGCAAAGTTGTGCTCCTCTGAATTTTCTGTAATCAACACAACACAAAGACGCTTTCGTGGGCGATTCCATTCAGCTGGGCAGATGCCCTCGAGTATCTCTTGTGAGGAAAGACGAGGCAGCATAAGGTACTGGTTCGATGATATGATACTATTCAGAGTTTGAGTCGGTATATCAGCCATAGATACGCTGGCCACTGGTCGCTCTACAAATTCATTGAATATCAGCAATGTATCCAAATTCGGATGGATTTGGAAGCGTTCCTTTATTTCCTTGCAGTCGGACTTCTCCAAATGCACCACACCAAATTGCACACGATTTCGAAACTGGAAGGCAGACAACAAATAGCGTAGACGTGTCTGATTGCGTGGCTCCAAAATCAGAGCCCTGACCTTATTATCCATCCAGCCATTTAAAAAGTCATCAATATTACTGTCATCGACCGTGGTGACCATGCGATAGGGTAGCTTTTTACGTATAAAATCCACTACTTTTTGGGCACTGAGGGTGTTCTCGCGATACACGTAGTTATGACCATTAAGCACTAAAATCAAGCCAGGTAAATCATTCAGACCAGCCGTACGAAATAGACGCTGCTCGTGTGCCGCATTGACACTGGCAAACTGCACACCCAATGGCTCCAGTATATCAATCAGCTTTTTAAAAGCTCCCACCAGACGAGTACAACGGAAACACCAATCATTATAGAACATTATTATGTAGGGCATTGCCCGACTTTTTTCCAGAATAGTCTGCTCATAGTAATTGGTTGTCACCGACAACTTGTGGTATATGCTAATGTCATGGTCGAAGTGGAACTGCTTACCGAAGAACTCCTCAAGGGGGTCACTTGCAAATCGTCCATAGTTGCTGTAATCATGCTTCTGCTTGTACATATGCGAATCTTCGTGGGTGACACCGTGCTGGTCATACAAGCGCCGACGATCTGAGTCACTCAGCAATTCATAGGCCTTCTTGATTTGCACGAATTTTAATTCAGCATCTGGATGACTATTTTTATCTGGGTGCCATTCTTTGGCCAGTTGTTTATAGGCCTTTCGTATCTCCTGAGTTGTGGCATGTCTGTTTAGGCCCAAAACTTTGTATGGATCCTCAGATAATTGAGCTAATGCGGAACTTACGAATATTATTAGTAACAAAAATATGAAGTGTTTGTGATCGAAAGCCATGACGGCTATTTTCGGTGCAAAAAAAAACTAATATCCACCCAAAAACCACCTATGCAAAGAAAATGAAAATTGAAAATTACCATATATTCTCAGGGTTGTATTTTTTACGTATGTTTCTTCATTACCTCATTTCGGGGGTTATATATTCTTTTTTTACCCCGAACGCGAATTTAACGAGCAAAACAAAAAGGGGGAAAAGTACACACACACACGCCCACACACACATTGAGATTAATGTGTGTGTGTGTGTGTGGAGTACAATTGTACTTTGTAAACAACTGACAGTTGGGAATAGAAGAGCCTGTCCGAACGACCGGCGAAGGCGTCAAGCGAAATGCTATAGTTTAACAAACGTTTACACAGGTGTTGCCTGGTAACATTCAATAATAATAGGTTCAGACGGTACATAATTCCTTATTCATTAAATACCATGCAACTGCAAAATATTTTATTTCTTCTTTGTTGAAATATGTTAAAAGTAGCAGGTTTATTAAAAAAATAAAGCTGATTTAGATAAGTTGAGTTTACTTTGGGCAATTTTTACAGCTCTCCTTTTGTTCTGCCTCTTGCATTTATACAAGGCAAATTGTTTACAGCAATTTAGTTTTTTTATTTTTGAATTTTCTATCATTGTTATTTGTATTTTTTATAACATATAAAAAAAGGAAAATTGCTTCTACGAGCAATTTTTTTCCATTTCCATTCCCCTTGACTCTCTCTCTTTCTCTTAACTCTCTCTTCATTAAACAATAATTGCCGTCAGAAAACTTGCCTAATATAAATTCGAACAATATTTATCGTACAGGCCTTCCAAATTCCACACTCAAAACAAAAACGGTATACTCATTCTATCATTTTTTTAACAAAATTACTTATTGTTTATTTAAAAAAAAATCATTTGTTTGTTTTGATTCTGTTACAATAACAAAAAATGTTTAACAAATTTCCAATTGATGACAGTTACAGAATCAAACAGCTACAGATCAAAGTTTAAATCGCGTGAAAATACATCACTGTTCCAATTTTCACGCCGAAGACACGATTTAAGCGTTGATCTGTTTTAACTTTTAAGGTGTAAGTACATAAGAAGCTTGAAGTCATGGCTAGGCATGCGAAAACTTTTTTCGGGGTAAAGGAACAACTATTTTCTAGCGATTGCTTAAAGTGTTGATAGATTTGGACCTACAGCGAACAACTGTACATTTAAGGGAATGATCATGGTACAATAAAAAGGTAAGGTAGAGCTACCAGCTGATTACAATTTTTTCTTGAGTGTGCCCGATCTCTGCCAATTTTGTGTGTGTATTTATTTTTTGGAAAAAAGAAAACAAAATATTTTCAAAATCAATGATTGGAAGGCACGTAGATTACAGCTCGCGCGTTATAGCTATTAACAAGTTTAACCATGAAATTGAAAGATTGAACAGTTTGGATCATATTTTTGAGAGAAAATACAAGCATTTCATACATTTTTCGCGGTATTTAACTCATTTGTAATATGATGAAAAATATGAAAAAAAATGAAAACAACTTGTAACAGTAAAATTGGCTTCTTATGTTCTTACATCTTAAACTTTTCATTCATGAATTTAATTTTTTCCCAAATAGTTTGTTAAACGTTTTATTATTTTAGTCTGTGAAATGTCCTAAATTAGGACATATTTAATAGTAGTAATTTCAATTAATTAATGAACAAAAGTAGTTATTATTCATGGTACAATGAAGAGAAGGTAGGCCAACTTTGAAAAAATTGCAAGTATAGAGGTCTACCTGTTTGGCTTGTAATGTCAGAATTAGTATCAAAACAATAAAAAATCAAACAACTTGTTGCATTTATTTTGAATAAATGTAAATCATGTACTATATATCTCTAAAGGATTATTTCGCTACAAAAACTCTTGATTTTGTCGATGCATACGTTGAAATAATCATTTTGAAAACACCCGAATTTGAATATTTTCTGAACAATTTCTTTGTTATTGAAAAGAAAACACATTCATAAACGAATAAAAATGACATATTAAGCCAAGAAAATAAAAAAATTAAAATCATATGGTATCATAGCCCTACCTTGATATCATTGTACCATGTTATTATTTCAATTTTGACTATAGGATTGTTTATAAAATAACATAAATAAAGGTCGACCAACGAATATAGAACGAACCAGTGTGGTTAAATTTTAACACCCAAAATTGTGGTTCTACACCATGGTACAATGAAGAGGTAGAACATCTTCGTAAAACTGCAGAAATACAGCGCTGAGGCTATGTCCGCTTCCTGTCGGAATAATTCAAAATTATAGGCAACAAGTTGTTTTCATTTATTTGATATTTTTTATTCATTTCTAAAATGAGTCAAAGAACGCGAAAGATGAATGAAATGCCTGGATGTTCTTTTAAAAATATGATCCTAAGTGTTCAATTTTTCAATTCCAAGGTAAATCTCGTTAATATTATTATTGCGCGCCCCGCAATTTAAGTTTCTTCCAATCATTGATTTTGAAAATATTTTGTTTCTATTTTTCAAAACAACAAATACACAAATTGGCAGAAGTTGGGCACACTTAGAAAAAAATTGTAATCAGCTGGGAGCTCTACCTTACCATTTATGGTTCTACACAATCAAATAAAATTAATTTTTTTCCTCAAATTTTTCGAAGTTTCAATGAAAATTCGATTAGAAATATCGATTTGCGATATTCGCTCTAATTCTTTGCCGGTGATTTCTTGCCGAGTAGGTCCAAACTAATCGCCGGCGTCTATATCGGCATAAGAAAAGACGGCGCGCCGCCGATAATACAATCGACTTGCTTCCAACTCTGGTCACAGCTCTATTGTGAAATGTAGAAAATTTTATAGATTTTAAGAACGAAAACAAGCGGATATTATACGGAAAAAGTGAATGTAGTGCGAATCGAAAGTGAAATATTCAATATTTCTTAATGAAGAGAACAGAAATCATGTCGACGACATCGATTGTCCAACAATTTGTGACGGGACTCAAGTCCCGTAATCGTGTTGTGCAAAGCAAGGCTGCACAAGATCTTTTCCTCTATGTCAAGACCGAACTGCGAGAAATGTCCCAGGAGGAGTTGGTGCAGTTCTTCGATGACTTTAATCATCAAATTTTTAGCATGGTTATGTCTACCGACATAAATGAGAAGAAGGGTGGTGTGTTGGCCATAAGTGAGTAGCACCTGCCTGGTCGCCGGCAGATCTTAGTGGTGGTCAAATGTTTATGTATTCCTTTTTTCAGAGTGCCTAATCAGCGGTGATGTTGTGAACACTATGAAACGGATAACACCATATTATAATCATTTGCGCGATTTGTTGCCTTGCAATGATGTCTCTGTGATGGAAATTGCAGCTCGCACCCTAGTTAAGTTGGCCAATTTGCCCGGTTCGAAGGGTGCAGAATCCTTTGAGTTCGATATAAAAAGGGCATTTGAATGGTTAAGTGGCGACAGACACGAAGTATGCCAGTGAACATTTTTTTTTTATTTAAGATGCCAATACTGAGATTTTTTTCTTTTCCTTTTTAGTATCGCCGTCATGCTGCTGTTTTTATTCTACGTGAATTGGCTGTAGCAATGCCAACATATTTTTACCAGCAAATATCCACATTCTTTGATCACATTTTCAATGCAATTTTTGATCCTAAACCCGCTATTCGCGAATCAGCTGGCGAAGCTTTAAGGGCCGCCCTTATTGTGACAGCACAGCGTGAAAATACGAAACAATCTAGCGAACCACAATGGTACAAAATCTCATACGCTGAAGCCTGCAAAAGCTTTAACGAAGACATAAATGTTGCCCAGAAAGAACCCAAGGGTATGACACGTGATGATCGTATTCACGGTAGTATGATAATTTTCAACGAGCTATTCCGTTGTTCAAATGCTTCGTGGGAACGTCGATATAACACATTGAAGGCCTTATTACCGGATACCATGTCCGGTAAGTTGGGTGATGGTTCTGCAGCGTCATATATTAGTGGAGGCAATGGAGGAAGTAGCTCCGGTAGCAGCAGCCATCAATTGACAACAATAGTGCCTCGCTTAAAGGCGCCATTTGCTAAAAAGCTTGGTTCCACACGTTTGGTGGAGATGGGCGAGAGTCAACAGGGCAGTCACAAATTTACTGGGGTGAGTAACGATTCGATGAGTTCACCGATTGATTTGCTTAAATTCAGACAAAGTCATGAAACGTCCGATATTTGGATTAGAACCCATTCCTTGAACGCACTAATACACTTTTAAGTCCTTTTGAGATGATAATTGGCACAATTCAATTGTTTTAAATAAAAAAACCGTTTGGAAATTGTTGACTATTGGTCCTGAATTGTATGTAGCTTTCATATATAAATGTATATGATTTCACGAAATTCAGTCCCGAAGAAATATAGGCGACATGTTTGTCTTTCCAAAATTGTCTGAAAATGCCGAGCTGATGTTAGGAGCCTTCGGCCTCAATATAAAACTTCCAAGTGTAGTGTTCGACGTCAAGTTGAATCATGAATACAATGGTGTCATAAGATCGGATCTATGACGACTTCATATGAACTAATGCTAAAAATCTAATGAACCCGCTACTTTTTGAGACTACGCTGACTGCGCAACCCGTATCATATAAACCTTATATTTTAAAAAAATTTAAATAAATTTTTGTTCAACTGTTTTCACTCAATTCTATATTTTCAGTCCAATGTTCTTGAATCATCCTATGCTCGTGAAGTCATAATGGAACATTATACAGTCATCTGTGATAGTATCATCGAGCAAAGACTCTCCAAATGTACATATGTCCAACAAGCCTTGCTACAAATTCTACCTCGTCTAGCGGCAATAAATCGTGAAGTTTTTGTTCAAAAATATTTGAATAAGTGTATTAGTCATCTGTTGAATGTGCTCAAAAGCAAAGAGAAGGATCGCAATGTGGCCTATATAACGATCGGTTTTATAGCTGTAGCTGTGGAGCGCGACATAAATAAGCATTTGAAGACAATAATGTCAGCCATAAAAATGGCTTTACCAGCCAAGGATGCCGCAAATAAACGTAAAACCACAATTGATCCGGCAATATTTGCCTGTATTACTTTGCTAGCGAATGCCGTCAAAGCTGGCATTACAGAAGATATTGGTGAGATTTTGGAACAAATGTTTTCCACTGGATTGTCACCAGCATTGACGGTGTGTCTAAGGGAACTGGCCGAGAATGTGCCTGATTTAAAATCTGCCATTGCCGAGGGCTTGATTGGAATATTGTCACAAATATTGATGAACAAACCGGTTGCAACCACCTATGGTACAATGATGCCCATGATGGATTCATCACAGGTTGTTCCAACAATTGTCTTGGCCCTACGCACCTTGGGTACATTTAATTTTGAGGAACAGAATATGTTGGATTTTGTACAACGGTAAGGGAAATGCCCTCATATGTGATAAATACTCACAGCATCTCTTTTTCAGTTGCGCCGACTATTTCATAAATGATGAACTACAGGAAATCCGTTTGGAAGCAGTACAAACATGTACACGTCTGCTTAAATTGGCAGTGCAGCAGGCCGACAGTAGTGAAAATTCGAAAACTCTTAGCGACACAGTGTCGCATGTCATTGAACGTCTGCTGATAGTGGCCATAACCGATATGGATTGCAATGTCCGTGTGCGTATCTTACGCTCACTAGATGAGACCTTTGATGCTGAGTTGGCACAACCCGAGTCCCTAAGTGCCCTGTTCATCACTTTAAACGATGAGATCTTTGAAATTCGTGAATTGGCAATGGTCACAATTGGTCGCTTGTCTGCCATGAATCCGGCCTATGTTATGCCAAAATTGAGACGAGTTTTGGTCCAATTACTTACCGAATTGGAGCACTCAGGCATGAGCCGTAACAAAGAGCAAAGTGCCCGTATGTTGGATCATTTGGTTATAAGTACACCACGTTTAATCTCGTCGTATATGAATCCGATATTGACTATTTTGGTGCCGAAATTGCGTGAACCCGAGTCAAATCCTGGCGTCATTTTGAATGTTCTGAGAGCTGTGGGTGATTTGGCTGAAGTTAATGGTGGCTCTAATGAAATGGAGCTATGGGCCGATGAATTGCTTTCTATATTGCTGGAAATGCTGGGTGATGCCGGTTCGCCGGACAAAAGAGGTGTAGCCCTGTGGACTCTAGGTCAGCTGATTAGTGCAACGGGACGTGTTGTTACTCCCTACCACAAATATCCAGTTTTGATCGATATTCTCATTAATTTCTTAAAAACCGAACAACGTAAATCCATACGCCGGGAAACTATTAGAGTACTGGGCTTACTGGGTGCCATGGATCCCTACAAACATAAAATGAACAAGGGCCTAATTGACAGCCAAAAAGATAGTGTACTTATTTCACTTTCCGATTATAAAGTGGAGGAGAATCAAGACATATCTACGGCGGAGCTTTTAGTAAACATGGGCAATATTTTGGATGAATACTATCCAGCTGTGGCCATTGCTGCTCTTATGGGTATTTTACGCGACCCCACCTTATCCAGTCGTCACACAAGCGTAGTTCAGGCTGTTACCTATATCTTTCAAAGTTTAGGCATTAAATGTGTACCATATTTGTCTCAAGTATTGCCTAGTCTTTTGGAGAATGTTCGAACTGCCAATAACAATTTGAGGGAGTTCCTGTTTCAACAGTTGGCCATTTTGGTTGAAATTGTACGGCAACACATTATCACCTACATGAATGACATATTCAAGCTGATAAAGGAGTTCTGGACCAACAACACACCACTGCAAGTAACCTTGATTAACTTAATAGAACAGATCGCTGTGGCCTTGGGCGGCGAATTCCGTAATTACTTGGCCCAATTGATACCACAAATCCTAAGGGTTCTGCAACATGACAATTCCAAAGATCGTAACGTTACCAGACGCCTCTTACAAGCTCTACAGAAGTTTGGCAACAATTTGGATGACTACTTGCATTTAATTGTACCGCCCATTGTAAAGCTCTTTGATTCGCCCTATGTCCCACAACAGGTTTCCAATTGCGCCCTGGAAACCATCGACAATTTGGCTTGGAATTTGGATTTTACCGATTTCTCCTCGCGCATCATACATCCTTTGGTGCGAGTGCTGGACACAGATGCTGAGCTAAGGGATCAGGCCATGTCCACACTATGTTCGTTGGTTATACAGCTGGGCAAGAAGTATTTGGTCTTTGCACCCCTGGTTAATCGCACCATTGCCAAGCATAGAATTGTCAACTCACAATACGAAAAACTAATGGCTAAGCTGCAGTCAAATACCACTATGTGCTTTGAGGAAGAGTTTCTAATGCGCCAGGCCAAATTCAAACAGAACACCGCTGCCAATGTGATGAGTGATGTCAATACCACGATTAAAAAGCTAAATGTATCCACCAAGCAGTTGTGCATGGCTTGGCAGGTAAATCGCCGTGTATCCAAAGACGATTGGGTGGAATGGCTGAAACGCCTATCGATTGGCCTACTGAGGGAATCCCAGTCACATGCTTTGCGTGCCTGTCGTGTACTTGCGGAGGATTATGATAAATTGCTAAGAGATCTCTTCAATGCCGCATTTATATCGTGTTGGTCGGAACTGAAACCGGAACATAAAAATGAATTGACTCAGTCGTTAATTCAAGCCCTGCAGGTCACCGATATGCCCGAAATCACCCAGACTATTCTGAATTTAGCTGAATTCATGGAACATTGCGACAAAGATCCCATTCTAATCGATCCCAAGTTATTGGGAACAAGGGCTATGGCTTGCCGTGCCTACGCCAAGGCATTGCGTTACAAGGAAGAGGAATTCATGTCACACAAAGATCCGCATGTTTTCGAGTCGCTGATTTTGATAAACAACAAATTGCAGCAAAAAGAAGCTGCTGAAGGTCTGCTTACCACCTATCGCAATTCGGTTGGCAGTGAAAATCCTCGATTCAAAGATGAACTCAAAGTTCAGGGTAGATGGTACGAGAAGTTACACAACTGGGATCAAGCCCTCATTCACTATCAACGCAATTTGCATCAGGATAAGACCGATCTGGAATCCCGTCTCGGTAGTATGCGATGTCTGGAGGCTTTGGGCGAGTGGTCTCAATTGAGCAGGGTGTCCAAGCAGGAATGGGACACTCTCAACAAAGATATCAAATCGAAAGCAGCACCTCTGGCTGCCGTGGCCTCTTGGGGTCTACAAGACTGGGATTCGATGCAGGAATACGTAAAATGTATCCCCGAAGACACCCAAGATGGATCCTTCTACAGAGCTGTACTTGCTGTACACCACGATGAGTTTGAGCTAGCTCAACGCTTGATAGACGAAACTCGTGATTTACTCGACACCGAATTGACTTCCATGGCAGGTGAATCGTATGAGCGGGCTTATGGTGCCATGGTTTGTGTGCAAATGTTGGCTGAATTGGAGGAGGTTATACAATACAAGCTGATACCAGAACGACGCGAACCACTGAAGAACATGTGGTGGAAACGTTTACAGGGTGGTCAACGTTTGGTGGAAGACTGGCGTCGCATAATTCAAGTCCACTCGTTAGTGGTACGTCCTCATGAGGACATACACACTTGGTTGAAGTATGCATCGCTTTGTCGCAAATCTGGTTCATTGCAACAATCCCACAAAACACTGGTCATGCTCCTGGGTGTAGACCCCAAAGAGAATCCCAAAGATCCATTGCCCTACAACTTACCTCAGGTGACATATGCCTATACCAAACATATGGCAGCATCGGAAAATGTACAAGGCGCCTACGATCAATTGAGTCGCTTTGTCAACACCTACAGCAGCCAGTTGAGTTGTATGCCGGATGCATATAAACAAGAGGACCATCGACTTTTGGCCAGGTGCTATTTGCGATTGGCCACATGGCAGAATAAGTTACAGGACTTGGAACCCAATGCTGTCCAGGGCGCTTTGGAATGTTTTGAAAAGGCTGTCGAATACGATCCGAATTGGTATAAAGCTTGGCATTTGTATGCTTACATGAACTTTAAGGTAGTTCAGTCCCAAAAACAGGCCCTGGAAAATCTTAAATCTCCCATGGATCTACACAATACAGCCATGCTAATTGAAAAAGAGAAAATGATAATAGAGCAGTATGCCGTGCCAGCAGTCCATGGTTTCTTCAAGTCTATTAGCCTCATAAAGGGCAACTCTCTGCAAGATACACTTCGTCTGTTGACATTATGGTTTGATTATGGTCACCATTCGGAAGTCTACGATGCTCTGCTGTCCGGTATGAAACGCATTGAAATAAACACATGGTTGCAGGTGATACCGCAGTTGATTGCTCGCATTGACACACATCGCAATCTGGTTGGTCAACTGATCCATCAACTGTTGATCGACATTGGAAAGAATCATCCACAGGCATTGGTATATCCTCTGACAGTGGCGTCCAAATCTGCCTCCATGGCACGGAAAAATGCTGCATTTAAAATTCTGGATTCCATGCGAAAAGATTCACCCACTTTGGTGGAGCAAACCATGATGATAAGTGAGGAACTGATTAGAGTTGCAATTTTGTGGCATGAACAGTGGCACGAGGGATTAGAGGAAGCTTCGCGTCTATACTTTGGAGATCGCAATATCAAGGGAATGTTTGATATTTTGGAACCGTTGCATTGTATGTTAGAGCGTGGACCACAAACGCTAAAGGAAACATCGTTTTCCCAAGCCTACGGACGAGAACTAACCGAGGCCTATGAATGGACGCAGCGTTATAAGTCATCAAATGCTCTTACCGACTTGGATCACGCCTGGGATATATACTATCATGTGTTCCAGAAAATATCTCGACAGCTGCCTCAGTTAACCTCCTTGGAATTACCATATGTTTCGCCCAAGCTTTTGGCATGCAAAGATTTGGAGTTGGCTGTGCCGGGCTCATACAACCCGGGCCATGCCCTCATAAGTATCAGTTATATCAAAACAAATCTTCAGGTTATCACATCCAAACAAAGGCCTCGCAAATTGTGCATACGCGGTTCGAATGGCAAGGACTATATGTATTTGCTTAAGGGCCATGAGGATCTGCGGCAAGACGAGAGAGTCATGCAACTTTTCTCATTGGTAAATACGCTGTTGCTCGACGATCCAGACACGTTCCGCCGTAATTTAGCCATACAACGGTATGCGGTTATACCTTTGAGTACGAATTCTGGTCTCATCGGTTGGGTACCACATTGTGACACTTTGCACACTCTGATAAGGGATTATAGAGATAAAAAGGGTATACCATTGAACCAAGAGCATCGTACCATGCTGAGCATATCTCCCGATTATGATCATTTGACCCTAATGCAAAAGGTGGAAGTATTTGAATTTGCATTGGCTCAAACGCCCGGTGATGATCTGGCCAAACTGTTGTGGTTAAAGTCTCCCTCGTCTGAGGTCTGGTTCGAGAGACGTACCAACTATACACGTTCGCTGGCTGTTATGTCCATGGTTGGCTACATTTTGGGCTTGGGCGATCGTCACCCCTCCAATCTTATGTTGGATCGCATGAGTGGCAAAATATTGCATATTGATTTTGGTGATTGCTTTGAGGTCGCCATGACCCGCGAGAAATTCCCCGAAAAAATACCCTTCCGTTTGACGCGAATGCTCATCAAGGCCATGGAAGTGACGGGCATTGAGGGAACCTACAGACGCACCTGTGAAAGTGTCATGATGGTGTTGCGTCGCAACAAAGACTCTCTGATGGCTGTTCTCGAGGCGTTCGTCTATGATCCGCTGCTGAATTGGCGTTTGTTGGACACCGAAACGAAGAATCATCGAACCAAGAATGCAAATGATAATACACACACCGCCACTGGTATGACGGGCAATGCAGCCGGCAGTCTAAGCAATTCCGTCGATGACAATATGTTGCACAGCAACACAATGGCCAAATCGAAGGCTTATGATGCACAATTTTCCACAGCTTTGTTGGCTGCGAATGCCAACAACGCTGACATAACCAATAGCAAGGCGAGCAAAGTCATAAAGCGGGTCAAGCGGAAATTGACAGGCACAGATTTTCAGGCGCAGACCAGTTACACTGTACAACAGCAAGTTGATTTGTTGATACAACAGGCCACAAATAATGAAAACCTTTGTCAGTGCTACATTGGCTGGTGTCCATTCTGGTAAATTCGAGAAAAATGAAATGAAGAACGAACATGAAATCTTAAAGATTTCTAACTTAATTCGATAGTTTTTAACAACGGTACTTTTTTCATAATTTTTACAAACTTAAAAAATCATACATACATACATACATAGGTACATTTATTTCTTTTCTGTATTTTTCTCTATATTTAGTCAGTAAGTTTGTGCATTAAAGGAAGTAAAAAAAAAACAAATACTTTTCGTCACATCATTTATTTCTAAATTTTTGTTTCTATTATTTAAGCCTGCAATTTCTTTTTCAAAATAGCTCTTTAAGTATAAAAAATATATATATTCTTAAGTCCATGCGTATTTTGTTAGCAATACAAAATTATCTGTATTTCTGTTTTAAAGTTTCTTTTTTAGGCTGCACCTTCTACTAGTCATAGACGTGTGCTTTGAAAAATAAAATAAAAAACTTTTGAAATATTTCGCAATAAAAATGGCATATAAAAATATTACAACAGAAAAATATCTTTAGAACTTAGATGGTAATTTTATTTGTCATACATTTATAAAAATGAATTAATAAAGAAAAAAATGGAAAAAATTACAAATTCCCATTTCAATCAAATTATATAGCCGGATAATGTAGCAAATGCCTTTTTGAAAAAAAAGTTAAAAAGTATCAGTCGGGTTTTGCCGACATATGCATACCCCCAGCCATGAGTTATGATTATTCAAACTCTTGACCCTTTACGTGGTAGGTTCCGAAGCAGTTGGTCAATATTGTCCAATTCGTATCAGACCTAAGTCTGATATAAATATTACAACGTGCCATATTTGGACTATATCGTCTACTTCCTACACTTTATATGAGATATGTGCAATTTTTTGGAAAATGTGGAAATATGCGTGAGGCGCCAGATATAGCGGACCAAAGTATTCAATTTCCTTACTTCATCTAATCGGAAATCGAACATTTATATCCAATTTTATACGAAATCATAAATTCCAATTAATTACATATTCATAGTTGATAGAATCGCTAACTTATTTCGCAATTATGACAGATATAAGTATTGGAGATTGCTGCGACACTTTGTTGTTGATGTACCAGAATGGGTTGGAAGATATATATCATCTTCACAACAGATTTTGCATTTGCAAAAATGTTTGGATGGGCGAAATTAGAAGAGAGTTTTGTTTTTCAAAATCTTGAACCCTTTGTGGGGTAAGTACCAAAAGAAATAGTCCGATCTCTAGCATATTTATAACAGATCTTGTTTTGATAAAATATTGGGATTTGCCAAGTATGAATGGAATTGGATATTAATTTTGCGTTTTATCAGCTTCGTGGATATTCAAAAAGTTGACCCTTTGTGAGGGAGGTACCAGAAGGAGTTACCCGATATAAATAGAACCGGATTTTATGATCGTTTTGGTTATTCGAAACACTAAGAGAATTCATGATGTCCTCAAGATATTGAAGACCAATTTTTATGGTATTTTTTATACCCTCAGCCATATGGCTAGAAAGGGTATATATCATTTAATACGGTCAAAACCTGCCTCATCGAAATAACGGGTTTAGACCCTAGATCTCTTTGGACCAAATCCATTTCAGGACATTTGGAGTCAATCTAGCGATAACTCTCGAAGAGAGTATCCGATTTGGTTTAAACTTGGTTCATTGTAATATTATTGTCAAACTTAGATCGAGTTCGGAGATCGGCAATATCGGTCCACAAAATGTCAACATTTTCAATGAAAATAATTTACTGCACAGAAAGCGAAAAGATAATCCAATTTTGCTCCAACTTTTCACATCCTAATATTTACTTTAGTGCTAGTTCAAGTGCGAAAATGGACAGAATCAGTCCACTTCATCAAGTTCCTACCGCACAAAGGGTCAACATTTTCAATATTCATGAAGCTCCTAAACACGAAATTAACATCCGATTCCATTCAGACTTGGTTCAACTCAATATTTCCATCAACACAAGATCTGTTATTAATATGGTAGAGATCGGACCATTCCTTCTGGTGCCTCCCTCACAAAGGGTCAAAGTTTTGAACAACCAAAACGATCGTATAATCCGACAAAAAAGCATCCGGTTGTCTTCAAATTACACACATCACAATATTTTTATTAACCCAGGGTCTGGTCCACTACTTCTGGTACCTCCACCACAAAGAGTCAAATTTTTGAGTATCAATGAAGCTCATAAAACTCGAAATTTACATTCGATTCCATTCAGACACATCTCAATATTTCCACCAACACAAGATCTGTTATAAAGATCGTACAGATCGGACCATTTATTCTAGTACCTCCCCACATAGGGCTCATGATTTTTGAAACATAAAACGCTCAAGAAAGCAATGACTTTACCTCCTCCATGGTACCATGCTTATATCTGTCATAACTTGCGAAACATGTCGGCGATTCTTTACAACTTGCTATATCTAAATATTTCTCTTAACCAGAAATCTGATATTAATATGTAATTTATCAAAATTTATGATTGGATATATATGTTCGATTTCCTTCAAATTTTGCACATATCAATATCTTTTATCTGTATTAGATGAAGTCTGAAAATGGAATACTTCGGTCCACTGTATCTGTTATATAAAGTATAAAAAGTAGTCGATATAGTCACAATCTGGTACGTTGTAATATTTTTATCAGCCTTAGGTCAGATACCAATTGGTCAAAATTGGCCAACTGATTCGGAACCTCCCCCCATTAAGGGTCAATAGTTTGCATAATCATAACTCAAGGCTGGGGGTATAAATCTATCGGCAAAACCGACTGATACTATTTTACTTGTTAAAATGTTCTTCGATATATAAAAGGAAAATCAATTACCGTAGTAAAACCTAAACATTCCTGCATTTTTGGAATAGACCAAAGGCTATAAAAAACTGTTGGACAAAGGAATGATGTTATGACAGCTTTACCTAAAATTCGACGTAAAGTACACAAATATTCAGCTTCCACCCATCATATAATGGTTTGCGCGTCGCATGGTAGAATTAAGAAGGTAAAGCCATGCAATCATATATTTACAATTTTTTTGGTCAAAAAATTATTCATTTGACAACATTTCATTGTCAAAATGTATATTTAAAAAGCCATTTAAGATACTCATATCAGAGATGGGATCCGGTTTTTTATGCAGTGACAGATAATGCAGAGATGGGAATGCTTATTTGAAATGACTTTACCTACACAAATTTAAAATGGTGCGTCCATATTACATAAATACGCCAGGTCCATATCTTAAAATCTACCAACTAATAACGTTGTAAAAATGGATAATTTTTCAAATTCGCATAATTGTCATATATTTCAATGACAAAAATTTTTTTTTTTTTTTAAATTTGAAAAATTTTACACTCATCGTTTTTCCGTATCATTTATATAAACACATGTGTTTAACTTTTTTGATGAAAAATGTCGACCGAATTTCAGATAGCGCTGTGAAACCATGGGTCGAAAATAAACTCCGTCAAACCCATATTCCTTTGTTCTTTTACCTAACAAATCATCACTGAGTCCAGAAAAAATCTGCATCTGTTTTCGGGACTATATATTGGGGGCCTTACAAAACCAAGGACCGCTGAAATCTTGAAAAAAAAAAAATCATATCGCCTAGCTACATACATGTTTTTGATATACATATTTATATACACACATACTTTTAAATGTAGCATATTTCAGTGGATCCAATTGTTTACTGCATAATCCATGTCCCTACAAAACCATAATTTTAACTCATCTAAATATGATTTGCATTTGGATAAACCGTCAAGATTAAAATTTCTGTTCATCTAAAATTTAATAGAAAATTTTATATAAACGAATAATTAAATTGTTCCAGAAATATAAATGTTCTGTTCCCAATCTTCTGCTAGCTCTAATATTTTCTTTTCGATATCAGAAAGGAAAAATTGTACTTTGGAGAAGCCCCAAAATCAATTTCCATCTGTCATCTATGGCATCAACATCGTCGTCATGGGCAACATTTTCAATTATCTTTTGATATGGCAATCTTTTCGAGTTCCTGGAATTTCTCCTATTCAACTGATTTACCCCTTTAACGGACACAGCAGCAGAGCAGTGTAAAAAAAGACATTTACTTGCCGTTGCTGCCGCACCATCGACCAGATACACATATAGCTGAATACAGTGGCTGAATGTAAGTTTTCAAATATGGCGCGTATTTTTCCATTATATAATAGAGACATCATAGCGATTTGTTTGTTTATCTGAAATTCTGGGAAATCCCATTTTACGCTGACGCTTTGACAAACGCACATGACAATTCAGTTCCAGGAATCCATAGCAGATTCATTCAACTTAATTTTTTCTGACAGTTTCCAAAGAAATCATGAACAATTCTCTGCAGACATCAAGCTCTTCATACGGACGTTCAGTTTTTGAACATCCCTCGGAGTGGTATGATTCCTATCAAGAAAATGGCACAAAATATTTGAAAAGTCGCAAGAAATTAGATGAACAATTGCAGAATGAGTTAAATGCCTGCGTTGGAGAGGTAAGTTTGTTTTTTGTGGAATTTGTAAGGTTTTATAAAAAATAGGAGAGTATTAATGTTTTTTTTATTTTTTTTTTTTGTTAGATTTTTCTGGACGGCATACCAGCCGATACTAGACCGGAGAAAATTGCTGAAATAGCATCGCAATTGGGGGAAGTTTATGTGTTGCGCTTTAAAGTAAATTTTTCTGGAGATTCAAGAGGTTTTGCCTATTTGCAGTATACGAATCCGTCGCTAATGAGTTTTGCCATATCAAAGTAAGTATGTAGTTGTTATAAATGGAATTTATGATTCTGTAAATACCAACCAGATCATATTTCCCATTATGAGTCTATGCGTATGAAACGCATTTACCAGAATTGAGTCAGGTAAATTGTTAAGTTTTATGCCAGCATTTTTTATTTTGTTTGTAAAAAGGGAGAGTTTAGTATTCCTCTCCCGATAAACTCAGCAATTTCCTTTCAAAGCTTTCAGTATCTGATAATGTCTTTGTATGAGATATGTGCATTTTTTGGAAAATGTGGAAATATGCGTAAGATAACAGATATAGCAGACCGAAGTGTTCCGTTTTCATACTTCATTGAAAATTGTGACCCTTTGAGAGTGATTTACAAGAAGGGGTTGGCAGATATATATCATCTTCACGACAGATCTTGTGTTAGCAAAAATGTTTGTATGTCTGAAATTTGAAGAGAGTTGGAGCTTTTTTCTCTTTTTTTGAGCGTTTTGTTTTTCAAAATCTTAAACCCTATGTGGGGGAGGTACTAGAAGAAATGGTCCGACCTCTACAATCTTTATAACAGATCTTGCGTTGTTGGAAATATTGAGACGTACCAAGTCTAAATGAAATCGAATGTAAATTTCGCGTTTTATGAGTTTCATGGATACTCAAAATTTTGACCCTTTTGTGGGAAAGGTACCAAAAGGAGAAGACCGGGATATCCAATTTTCACACCAGATCTTGAGTTAATAAAAATATTGTAATGTGTGTAATTTGAAGGGAATCTGATGGTTTTTCGGATTTTATGATCGTTTTGTTTATTCAAAACTACGACCTTTTGTGGGGGAGGTATCAGAAGGAATGGTCCGATATCTACCATATTTATGACAGATCTTGTGTTGATTGAAATATTGAGATGTTCCAAGTCAAAGTAGAATCGGCTGTTATGAGCTTCATGAATATTCCAAATTTTGACCCTTTGTGGGGGAGGTACTGGATGGAGTGGACCGATATTGTCCATTTTTGCACCTGAGGTAGTACTGATGCAAATATTAGTATTCTTATAGTTGGAGAAACATCGGATTATCCTTTCCCTCTCTGTGCAGTAAAATATTTCCTTTGAAAATGTTGGCATTTTGTGTGGCAGGTACCAGAAGGAGTGGACCGATATTGCCCATCTCCTAACTCGATCATATATTCCATTCGAGAGTTATCGTGCGCACCACCCAGACAGACGGACATCGCAAGATCGAATCCAAATGTTCTAAAACGGACCTAAGGTCTCAAACCATTATTTCGATGAGGGACTTTAAACCCCAAATCGGATAAAACATATATAAGGGAGCTATAGCTATATCTTAACCGATTTACACTAAATTTGAAATACTGGTTTCTAGGATGAATTCAGTCGTAATTGCCAAAATTAATTCCATTTGGGTTGATATTAGCCATTCTCCAAATTTGATGTACTTGTGTCTAGACTAAATTCAGTGGGATGTACCGAAATCGGTTGAAGATATATGGGAGTTATATCTAAATCTGATTCGATTAATATCAATTTCTATAGGGTTTGTCCTTGGGCCAAACAAATATTGTTTGGAAAATTTAATCTTAATTGGATAATAAATGCGACCTGCATTTTGTTCACAGGAATACATGGACAGACGGATTGACACGCATAAATCGACTCAGAAAGTGATTCTATGAAGATCCTTAAAAGTAACCATGGGTCTATCTTGCTTTCCTCTCCATGTTACAAACATATGCACAAAGACATAATATCCTTACCACTATGATGTGGTGTAGGGTATAAAAATAAAAACCGGTACATTTTTGCAGATTCTGTAGCAGATCAGAAATCATAGGATTTGAAAATATAGACATATATAAAGATGCTAATTTCTGCATTCATGCTTCTCTCTTCTAGGCTGCCAACATTATTCCAACAAAATTCCCTGCCCATGATACGTGTTCGCCAGTCACGCAACAGTTCGGTATTATTGCTGCGTAGAGTTCATCACATGACAGCCAACGATGTATTTGACGCTTTGGCCCGAGTAATAAATTTCCATCTTTTGATTTCACATGAAATAAGTGCGGGAAATTATGAATATTTCATCATCTTCAAATGCAACGAAGAAGCTGTACATGCCAGACGTGAACTTCTGCGAACTATAACACAATTTGGTCGGAGTGCGGTGATCGTTTGGGATAACGGCAAGAGCAAGCATCGAAATGGTTCATTAACATACATTTACAATAGGCAAAAGCTTGCAGCTCCTACTATAAATGGCAGACATATTCAAATATATAGTAGTCGAGGTTCTGATAATACCGCACCACCTGGACGTGTATTGCCCTACCAAGGAAATGAGCCTCAGTTTATGCCATTCATGAACTTACCATTGCAGTGTGGTGCAAATCAATATTCGGCTCCAACAAATGTTTTAAACTAAGGGTTTTACGGGCCATTCCCAGTACATAATTAGGATCATCAATCAGCGAGATTCCATTGCTTTGTGTCATTATCATCTCTCTTATGAATGTGGATTTATTTTGTAAATCATTTGAATTTTTTTGTTGTGTTTTTTTTTGCATGAAATGAAAATAATAAAAACGAAAAACATATAATGAAGTGAAAATAATAAGTAAACATTTTCTTTTTTTAAATACCCGATTTGAAATGATACCATTCGTATGGATTTCGTCAAATATGCCAGTTACTTAAACGTAAGTGTACGGTTTTATGTATGTTATAGGAGTTGTGTTTTGTTTGGCAATCAAGTATTTTATTTCGCTTGATTTAAAACAATATGAAAGAGCGATAAAATAAGTGAAAGGGCGGAATGTTAAACTCGCTCTGATTGTACTATGTGCTTTACCCATAAATTAAAGAAATTGAAAACTAATAAGAATATTAAAAATACATGGCAATCCGTCAAAATCAATATATCAGCCAATCAGAAGCTGGTTGATATGAAAATTGACTAAGTTGAGGTAGTTTATCGAGTTAAGGGACGTTTTTTCAATAAAATGTTGCAAAAATGATAAAGATTGTAAAATTATGCCAAGCTAAAAAATTGCCAAGAGTCAAAAAAGATTGGTCACCGAATTTTAGATATGAAACTTCGATTCTTCCAGTGTCCCGTGCACCACTAACTTCTCATTTTCAGAAATTAACCACATGTAATATTTTAAACCATGGTTGAATAATACAGGTAACATCAAGTGTTGTTGTACAACAAACTTAACAACAACCACACACAAATTTATTTTTGTTCGTAATACAAGTGTCAGAGTTATATGTTCGGCCGGGCCGAACTTTAAATAAACTCCACTATTTGGAATTCAAAAAAAAAAAAAAATAAATAAATAAATAAATAAATAAAATCCGTTAAAAATTCTTTTAAAATTTAAAAAATACTGAATATAAGAGTTATATTGGGATCTATACGACGACATGTACCAGCATAGAATTTCGGCAATAAGCCATTACAATATTCAAATACGAACCTTGAAAAAAATCCGGTGAATAATGCAGCTAAAATCATCAAAATACCGAATATAGGGAGGTACCGTTATATCAGGGCTACACGAAGTCCTAGCCCTGCATAGATAATTTTCTGGCCATTCTGGTACCCATTGCGTGCTTCAAATACGAAATTTCTAACAATTTCGGTGAATATTGTACATAAAATCATCAAAATACCGAATATTGCGAGGTACTGTTATATGAAGTCTATGCGAAGACGTGTGCCCTGCATGCTCAATTTTTGTGATAGGCTGTTGTACCCATTACCAATTTTAAATACAAAATTTAAGACAACTCCGGTGAATAATAAAATCGTCAAAATATCGAATATCTGGGGGTACCGTTGTTTGTGGGTTATACGATATTGTGGACCTATATAGACATTTCTCTTCCAGGGGGTAAAGTGCTTAGAAAGAACTTCTAGTATGAATTTTTAGACAATTCCCTTGAAAAATTTATTAGAAATGATTGTTGAGGCACGAGGATCGTTTAAGTTTAACACTTCATGTTCTTTATTTAAGAAGAAGTAAAAGACAACTAACTGAACGTTACAACAGTAAACTATATTTATTACATGGAATGTTAGGATGATGTATGTGATGCATGTATAAGAGTATATGTGTATTTGTACAATGTACATAAAAACAATGTTGCCACATCTAATTCTATTATTAATCATTTGGGTATTCTCATGGGTTACCGTGCTCATGTGATGTACAATTGCAAATACCAACACTCCTCCTCAATTGTACACGACTTGTGCCAAGGTTCTGAATTTCTCCAGCTTTGACAATGGTAATGGTTTAGTCAGCATATCAGCAAGCATTTCTTCGGACTGGCAATAATTACATTCGATGACCTTTTTATCAATATAATCCTTTACGAAGTGATATTTCGTGTCAATATGTTTTGTTCTATTACTTAATTTCTCCTCCTTGATTAAGTTTAGGCAACTTCTGTTATCTTCGTAAATTGTCGTCGGTTGGATTTGTTGACATCCGAAGTCTGCTAAAACATTTCTCAACCACTTTGCTTATTTTGCAGCTTCCGACAGAGCAATGAATTCAGCTTCGGTTGTAGACAGAGAGACAAGTGTTTGCTTTTTACAAGCCCAGCTGATTGGACAATCATTCAATAAAAACAAATATCCAGAGTTACTTTTCCGGTAAATTCGACATTCAGCCCAATTAGCATCAGCGTATCCGATTAAAGTATTCGGAGTAACAGTCTCACAACTAAGTTTCAAGTACATGTCTACAGTGCCTTTAAGATATTTCGCCACACGCTTCAGCTCAATCCAATCTTTTTGAGTAGGACAACTTATTTTCTTTGATAAAATGGATATACTGGCAGCAATATCAGGACGAGTGTTAACAGCAACATACAGCAAAGAGCCCAATAAACTTTGATATTCAGTATTTCTTAACAAGGGTTCTGAATCTTCTTTTCCATATGAAGGTTCTAACGGGTACTTTGCGATTTTAGAATCTTTAAGGCCAAATGTGTTAACTACCTCATTGATGTATGCTTTCTGCCCAATTAGAAATTCACCACTGCTTGTCCTCTTGACTTCAATTCCTAAAAATGTTGTTACCGGACCGAGATTCTTAACTTCAAAATGATTGTTCAACATTTTACCAACATCCGCAATATGATTTTCATTTCTCGAAGATACCAACAAATCATCAACATACAGCAATATAAATAACTCTTCCCCATTGATGATTTTGGTGTATATACAAGGATCCGCTTTGCTTCTCGAAAAACCATTATTAATCAAAATATCATTAAGAGCATTGTTCCAAACGTTTGCTGCTTGCTTCAAACCATAAATACTTTTCTTCAGCTTACAAACCTTGTTTGAATCGCCCTTCACAAAACCAGGTGGTTGTGCCATGTATATTGTCTCCTTTAAATTACCATTCAGGAATGCACACTTGACGTCCATATGATGAATATGCATCTTGTTTTGGCCAGCAATTGAAAGTAATATACGAAATGTTGATTGCCGTGTTACAGGCGCAAAAACTTCATCATAATCAGTCCCATATTTTTGATTAAATCCTTTTGCAACAAGGCGAGCTTTATAGCGTTTAACTTTGCCGTCACAATTAGTTTTTAATTTGTAAATCCACTTGCATCCTATCACATTGGCTTTTTCAGGTTTAGTAACCAACTCCCATGTATCATTTTTTATCATAGAATCGATCTCCTCCTGCATTGCAGCAGACCACTTTTCTTTTTGTTTTGACAAAACAGCTTCCTTAAAAGACTTTGGTTCAATTAATGATTCAGATTCCATAACACATGCTGAGTATCGAGCAGGGCGGACACCTTTATTTTTCCTTGAAGATCTACGAAGGGTACTTTCGTGATTACCATTGCTTGTAGTAGGCACCTCTTCTTCATCCTCAGTAAAATATTCCAAATCGCTACTCAAACTACTGTACGAGCCAACAGGAGAGTTAATCGCCACTGCTTCTTCCTCTTCCATTTCCCGTTTTGACGAAAGGTTGATTTCTATTTGACTTGGTTCTTTGACTTTATCGCTTTTATCTTCAATGGTGTCATTTGAATTTACAAATCTAAAATCTCTGCTTATTGTCACTCTATTGGTATCGGTATCAACAAACCGCAATCCTCTGCTTTCTTCGTCGTATCCCATGAAAGTTAAAAGCTTGGATTTATTGTCCAACTTTTTTCTTTGCACATGGGGTATCAAAACATAAGCCTTTGTTCCAAACACCTTAAAATTGGCTATATTCGGTTTTGAACCTTCCCATCTTTCGTACGGGGTACACGGAACAGAATTTGAAATCAATCTATTTTGCAGATAATTAGCACACATCACTGCTTCGCCCCAATACTGTTTAGGTAATTCAGCTTCTTCCAGAAGACATCGGGCCATTTCCAATAAATACCGGTTTTTTCGTTCAGCCACGCCATTCTGTTGCGGGCAGTAGGGAACAGTGAACTGAGGTTTTATGCCACGACTAGAAAGAAAATCAGCCAATCGTCTAGATTTATACTCCCCACCATTATCTGATCTGAAGCATTTTGGATACCTTCCAAATTTATTTTTGACCATTTCAACAAATGCCTTCAATTTTACAAAAACTTCTGATTTTTCATGTAACAGATATACAACGGTGTAACGGCTGTAATCGTCAATAAATGTCAGGATATATTTCTTCTTTCCAGGTGTTATTGTTTGCATGGGTCCACAAACGTCTGTATGGATAACTTCCAACACTTCCCCAGTTTTTGACTTTGACATTTTTGGAAAGGGTTTTTGAGTCAATTTGCATTTGGTACATACCTCACAAGTCTTTCTTACGCCACAGTCCACGATGCTAAAATTATTTTCCAGCTTACCAACTTGCATAGATCTAACCGCATTAATATCTCTGTGTCCAAACAATTTATGATAATAATGTTGACAACGATCCATTTTGCAGGAAACAACGTTTACCTTCTCTGTGCTTTTACAACGCAATTGATACAAATTGTTGACCAAATCCGCTAATCCAATTTCCAAATCCTTATCGTCGCGTATTCTGCACATATTACCAGAAAACGTAAATGTATAACCCTTAGTTGACAACTTTTTCACCGACAATAAATTTCCTTTAAATGATGGAATGTATAAAACATCGCCAACAGTAATGACTACTTCAGACCCTTTGGCATTCACCATCGATACTTTACAAACACCTTTACCATTTGAATAAACGGCATCACCATTTGCTACGGTCACCTTCTCACACCACGATGTATCAAGTTCCACAAATTGATATTTATCGCTACAAATATGGCACGTTGCTCCAGAGTCAACAACCCATTCACCTTCAGCACCGTTCATTATGAAACATGCATTTTCCATACATACATTTTCTTGTGCGATTTTAGCTTTGTGTTGATCCGACTGCTTATTTTTTAACTTCCAGCAATTCTTACGAATGTGCCCAACACCGTGACAATGATGGCAAATAATTTTCCTTTTGTTGTGTGCAAACTTATTTGTTGCTTTCAAAACAGAGTCTTCGCTCACTTGCCTTTTC